GGTGTGCCCGATGTTCGTCCAAATGGGTCAATAGGTCAGTATGGCCGAACCTTTTGACGAGCGGGTCAGTGGTCGAACCCGTTGACGGGCCGGGCGTCCACGCTGTGACTGTGACAACGGCGGCGGCGACGCGGGCGGAGCGAGGTGTGGTAGTGCACAGTGCGACCGCAGAGCCGGGTCGCGCGGGATAAATGGGCGCAGATCGCGGATGGCTGCGAAAGGCCGCGCGGGGGGGAGGCGGGGGGAGGGAGGGTCGAAGAGAGAAGGGTTGGCTGTGGCGGTGAGGGGTGGTTGGAGCCACCCCTATCCCGTGTGGCCGCCGCACCCCACACGTGGCTACCTCCTCGCCGGCCTGCCGCCCTGCCACCGTACGTGCTGTCTACATATGATTATTTCGTTCACCCGGCGACAACACATGTGGTGGTCACGTCTGAAAATGGAGTAAATAGCGCGCATGTTCATGTACTGATGTACTGCTGCAGCGTTTACACACACACCCGTGTGAAAAGTGTCCGTCTTTCTGCTACGCAGCACATCGGCCCGGCCCACAACTACAGGAACTCGTCCATGGCGCGGCAGGCCATCCGGGACGCCGGCTACGAGATCTCCCTCGGCATGATGCCCAAGTCCGTGGGGCCGCTCACCTTCGTGTTCACCGGGTACTACTGACCGCATCACGCACTCCCTAGAGTAGTGTCTCCTCAACTATAATAGTTGAGAACTAAATCAGATCATTCATTTCCAATGTTTAGATCGGGGAACGTCTCCAGCGGAGCGCAGGAGGTGTTCCAGGAGCTGCCCCACGAGTACGTGCCGCCTGAAATGCTTCAGAAGGTGGCCGAGCACGGTGGTGAGTGGGGTTGCACTTTTGCAAAGAATTCAAGAGTGTGTGCCTTTACTTTTATTTATTTTAAAAGAGAAGGAGGCAATTATTTTGAGTTTTGACTGACGTTAGGCGTTTAACCCGAGGTGAAATAATTTTGCTGAATTTTGACTGAGACATAGCTGACTGTTGCCTGAACCACTATTTTTGCCCCTGATCATGCCCTGGGCCAC